CATGATCTGCCATTCGTGTTCGGTGGGGTTTTCTGCGACCCGTGAGTTGGAGAGTGAACAGCATCAAAACTAATACATGATCAGATTCAACGCAGGTCGTCAAATAGTACCTACAGTTTTGTACTGAGCCACGCCAATGGTAGCTTAGAGCTATGTGGTCGGTTTGAGTTAGCGTACCAGATAAAGTGGAGTGCCAGGTTATGTCAATTGAGAGCTGTGACAGAAGTTGGTGCTGGATAGGATGGTCAGCACAGAACTGAAGAAATCGTTCGCCATCATTTCTTCGCTGGCAGGACAGCACAACGACCATCTAGTCAAGCTTTTCATGCGCGCAGTTATCCAACCTGCGCGTTAAAATCACTTGCGAATACAACTATATCAGAGTTTCGGTTCAACCGAATGGGAACTGGTCTTTTTGTGCATCAGAACGGCAGTTGGTCGGTGAATACGCTGAATTGATGAACAAACACCTTTTGGTGTTGCTTTCTTTTCCGACGCTAGTAGACCCGTTGAAATCGTGAAATCGACTGTTAAGGGCGATCCAATCGAGTAGTGCGGCTTTGGCTGTATTGTTGAGTACAATGCCCACACCACACTGGCCTATTGAAAGGACTTCCTGAGCACCTGAAGTACGTGAGAAGTACCTCGAACACAAATTTGGTGCGTTGAAGTGGCTTGCAGTATTAGGATCCTGGATTCACGGCAAGTATCAATGCCCAAAGAGTCCACTGTACGCTCCAGGCATGCTTGTTGACCTACCTGCATCACAGACCCCTGTCCGATGGTCCCCAGATTGAATGACGGGGCTTCGGAATCTGAAATATATTTGTTGTTAAACTACTTACAGCGCTACTAGGCAACGAAATTTGGCGAGTGACGAACAAGTTGTCTGAGGGAATATTACGGGTCGAAGGAAGGGGTAGTGTTGGGTGCGGAAGACGGAGTCAAACAAAGGTTGGGATGTCTGAGCAGTAGCCAACTTATCACTACCAACCCCGCTCGATGCAATGGGCCACGCGATCCTGATTATCCTGCTCGACGACCGATGCAGTATAGAATTATTCATAGTTTGTGTGTGCATTAGAACTTGAAAGACGAGGACTGCCAGGGTGTCCAGCCACTAAGCAAGAGAATGATCAGGGTTCTCGTTCAATGCCTTTAGTTCCGACAAGAACCTGACCACATGGCAGCAGGTTAAATGAAATAGAGTTCCAGTTACTTGGATTGATTACTCCTCTACCACGTAGCGGAAGACGATAACTTTATTTGAGCCTCAAACCTGGAGACTGAATTTGGTCTGACCTTGGTATGGTTTTGCGACTTAATTAGACAATCCTGCGTAGCTGGTTGGGTCATACAGGTACAGAAGTCATCAGAACACATGAAGGTGCAGCATTTTAGTTTCGGCTAAGCTGCCCATGTGCTCTGGTGGGCGACCGGTCGGACCGGGATAATCATAATTTTCTGTTGCCGCTTATACTAACTAAATTCGCTTTCGCATACAAGTTTCAAATTCGGTTACAGATTACACTCTTCCCTGGGTTATTAAATGTTAGTCTAAGCTTTTCACATTCGGGTCTTTACAATGAGTGACATTCTAAACCTGTCCCGCAATCGAAAGATCAATTTATCGACCACAGGGAACCATTCGAGGACACTCGAAATGAAATTAATACCAAACTCGAATCTTCAAATCAACTTGAGCCCACACAAATTTACAGAACAACCACTTAGGAGAACAACTACATGCAAGTAGATAGACATTGCTCCATCGAATAAACGGTCACCAACGGCTGGGGGCAATGTTGAAATACGTTGTTAGTTCTCGCATGGCAGATGATGTTTCTGCGGAAAATCTCTTAGACATCCTGTTTGATGAATCTGATTGACCATCCAAAGTGGACATCGCAATGCTTCGATGCAGGCAGTGCATGGCTCTGCAAAAGCTGGAGGAGTATCACTAGATAAACTTGTTGGATTCATCCCAGAAACCGGTTATTACTTTATGCATGACTAAATAACAATATTTTTGATGATACTGAACTGAATCCAACGAGTCTCCATGTATCCCGATTGAGGAAATCTTTTCTACCGCATCCATTGAGGCAGACCTAGTCGCTATCCAACCGCTGTTTCTCATCATTCCTAACTCCGTATGCTTTCGATCTAAAATGCATTACATAGAGATTCATCACAGACAGACATCTGTGGCGGAGGAAGATGGAATCACTGAATACCGCACCATGATTGGGTTGTCTGTTCATGGTTTCCCCAAATTTTTGGAATTTGATTTATCGAACATAGTCAGCTACCATATCTGCTCAATCAACAAGTAACCTATGCAAAAAGCCAATCAGATTAGCGCTGATGTGGATGAAACACCACGGGGCTGGATAGAATCAGCCCACCAATGGTATTGGCAACTGAACACCGACCAGTTCTCAGCTGGCTTAGTCGATCCGATTAATCAAAGATAAAGAGCGCTACCCCAACTGCATAATTGTTTTAACCAGGTTCGGAATAAGCGAGGACGAAAACAGCATCGTCTGTGCAGTCATCCATAAACACATTTAATGATTTATTTTCCTAAACAAACCGACAGTTTTAACAAATGTGACCAGTCATACGTCACGACCCAAAGGTAAGACTACATAACAGAGACTATACGAGAACGCAGTGGTGTATTAGAGGGGTTTACACCCGCTAGAAAATAAAAGCGATAATCCGTTTCAACTTGTGGGACCCACTTTTACAGCTTAACCCTAACTCACCCACATTTAAAATGCAGGTGATTTTGAGGTATGTATTCGCATGGTTGTATTTTCTGTACAATCACCTTTACGGTTGCGATACCGCACGCAAAATCTGAAACCCGAGGTACACGGCCTCTGCGGCTATGTTGTACCAAGCATGATCTCTTATCCCCTACCAATTCGGAGGAGGTTCCGGTCTGCTGTTGTCGCAAGTCGCTCATAAGTATACTCACGATAGATGATTGCGCTGCACAAAATTCTACAATTACTTTTCTCTTTCGAACGGTTGATCAAGTATGTAAGGGTTTGCTATGACAGTTTAACCCTTTTTATCTACCGGCCATTTATGACCGAAATTGAATAACTTTAATAGAGTAAGCAGTATGACATGCTGCGTGAAAAGAGATTGCCTAAAATCACCAAAGATAATCTTATCTCGTTCTGACAGCATGAACACAAAAGTAGGAAATTATACGACCTTGCACCAATTGGTGACGGTTTTGGTTGCTGTTCTTTGCAGCCCATTGACTGGAGGAGTAAAGAGAAAACTAGAAGCCCACGAGTTGAGATAAAGAACTGGGTAGACCAGTATGAAAAAGAACTTAAGCAGATGAACGAGCGACAATGTTTACAACAACCGGTTTCTCAATTAGATCAGGCCCCCATCCGTGAAGCCAACTAGACTGTCTCATGATTGGCGCTTTTATTTCTTCATGCCGCGTTCCAGTTTGTCCATCTTTGACCCTTTTCCACTCACTACTTACCTCAGCAAACATCGGACTTCGAGAGAACCTATCTGGTAACATCCGTAACACACCGAAACTGTCGTATTCCGTGAAATCGTTCCAGAGTGCGCCCGCAGTTACCTGAAAATCTGCACCAAGCATCGGCATTACTTACCGGGCGTCGTCGCCAAACTCGAGCAATGCTACAAAGACAGGTGTTCAAACAACGATAGCCTACTTTATCGTGTTTTGATAACGACTGTCTCCTCACCGTATACAACAGCACCTGGCGAACTGCTACAGCACACACTCGACCCTTCATGAACAACGGCATATGGCGGCGTCGCTGTGGACGTCTCAAATTGGTAAACATCAAAACTAGACAGGTCAATCAGTGTCGATCCCACATGAGATTCATCCGCGAGATGCAGGCAGCATTCCCAATCAGTAAGGATGGCAGTTGGAACAACCCAGACTAGTACCAAAATTTTAGATACACCTGGAAATGGGAAATTTGGGGACAATAACAATGAGAAGAGTTTAAAAAAAGAACAGAAATTATTCCTTGGTAAGTATCAGATACTCCATAAACACCCCCTGATATCACCGCAAGTAGGAAGCTGTTTTCTTCAAACCCCAGAAGAAGAAAGGAAAGGTAGTGTTGATGAATTCTAGGAATGAAGGATGCACAGGGAAAGGACGAATTCCCTGTTCAAACAATTTTATAACTTGAAAAATTACTTAAAACCAGTAAAAACAAAAAAAATACGGGGTGATGGGAGCAGCAGCAGTGTCCACGTACAGATAGATCACCGGAAATCAGCTCCGTATTGCATAAAGTTAAGGTGTAAATGAGGGTATTTGGAGGGTGTGGCAGGGATATGCTAGGGTTCATTGCGAACGGGAAAATGAGGAGCGGTTGGTTGTTATTCGGTCACTGATTAGACAAAAGAAACACTTGAAATGAACATTTTTTCGGTCAAAAAGGCATTAAATCACTAGCCTTGAACACCACATTCCGGCTGTCACCCGGCGTCAATTACAACAAACCGCCAGCTGAACTCAAGGTTCCCGCCGAATTAGGCTACACAGACAGGGGTACCCGTGTGCGCTGATAGTGAGCAGATTGTGTACTGGTTCAAGATACAAGCACAAAAGAGACAGTCATTGGAAGGACTTTATGGAATCGAAGGCAATAAACAAGGGGATCTGTTTTTGATAACTGCGCTAGGGTGCACAAATAGCAAACTCACAAGAAGTGAGATGTGGGCGATATCTTGATAGGTTGATTAAATCTGATGGAAATGGGGATTATGGGTATGTACCCTGCGCCAAGACAAACACAAAGATAACAAAATGCTTCTGTTTTCGCCATGAGCACGTTGTAAAAACTGAAGAAAGCGGATCGGAAATGAGAATAGGATCCGCATAACTAGTTGATAAACAGAAGAAAAACTGTTCTGAAAGGAAAAAAGAGAGCAGCAAAAGGCGCGAGGTGAGGTGAGTGAGAAAAACGGAGAACTCATTGCATCACTCGATTGGGACCCGTACGATGCCCGGTTTGAGCATAGAGGGGTTCACTTCGGGGACCACTGCTCTGGTACCGTTTGCGCGCAGCACGTGCCCGCGGGCACGGTACGGACGCATCACCTTGGGTCTGCTTACGAAACATGAGTTCGGGTATGTCGAGGAATTTCGGCGGTGCAGTCGAATCATTCGGAAAATTACCCATGTGGTTCTCGTGCGCAGACTCAGCTATTGGTGGGTAGCGTTGTTGCAGCATGTAAAAATCACCCGAATCAAAGGAGTGTCGTCTTCGTCGTACCGACTGGGGAAGAAAATACAGGAGGAAAAAAAAACAAATCAATTTATCAAAAGAAAAAGATAAAAATATAAACATTTAACTGAAGGTTAGCTCTTATTCGAAAGCCAAATGGGATATACTCATAATACTGTACGGCACGAATGCACAACTAGAACACGTTAGTAACGTGGAGGTAAGCCGTCGTGTGTTTGGCAGTCTGTCAGATATAAACCTGCTAGCACATCGAATTCAGATTACTAGGCTTCGCTGGTTAGGGCACGTATTGCGTATGCCCATCGTCTGCCGCACCGCGCCTTATTCGCTGTAGCTAATCCTGGCTGGAGGAAACCACGTGGAGGTCAAAAGATGACGTGGAGACGAGGCATGAAGAAATGCACAGAGCCATTAGGTAGAGTAGGTGTCTCTTGCCTTCCAGGTTGGGATCCAAAAGACTCCACAACTGGTCGGTTGGAGACATTGAAGGATATGGCAGCGAACCGGCATCAGTGGCGTTCTTGTTGTCGTTTCTTATCAGGTCAGAATGCTTGAAACGGTATATATGCAGAGTTCGATTGCCTACTCTGTGTTAACCATAGTGGCTCAACTTCTTCTCCCTCCCTCAAAATAGATCCAATTCCTGTCCACCGTAAATTTTACCACTAACCTTGTATGCAATACGAGTTTGGCACCGATCAGTAAAGTTCACTTCACTGTATTTCGCTGTACGATGATGACAACCAGAACAACTCTATCAAAAACCGGACTTTAAAACGTACCACAGAAGATTTCATGGTTACCATGTTTCTGTCGGTTGATCCTTGTGGGTGAGGCGATACGGCTGGCTGAGAAGGAGAAGCAGTAGAACCAGCCAAGGGTACACGAAATACAACTGCATCGGTCAAAGGATCCTGAGGTAATAGCTCTTCATCTTCAGTCTCCGTGGACACCCCAGAAACGTTCCGTTTGCGCGGACGACCGGGTGGCTTGGACACGGTCGGTGCCACATCTGTATCTTGAAAAAGTTCTTTCGGAAGGGCCTGGACACTAGCTGATCGAATCAAAGGTGGCCAAGAACCGGCAAGTCGGTCGATTTCTTCACGAATTCGTTCGTAATCTTTTCGATGGACACGTCTGTCGAATTGAGTCGGAAATTATTCACTAAGAGTTAAATCATTTGTATAAGATAAGGATGGAAGTTACCCGTATTGCCACAGATAATGTGGATCGCATCAGGATTCCGCAACAATCACAAACATGAGCAGATTTCACAACTTAGTTTGGTATTCTGTAGTTCTGTCAACACGCGTTGAAACAAGGAAGAAGCTGTAAAAACTGACCTTCGTATGTTCGCCCACCCATTTATTCACCAACTACATATGGTAAACTCATTTGTGCCCCGTGATTTATTCCATCATAAGTACAAGCCAATGGTTCAATAACTAACACATAGCCTGACTCATTTAGTTTACTTTGAGGCTCTGATAAAAACTGACTGTGCTCATGCATTCTACGAACGATATAAACATTTCAAGTGAGTTAAAGAGGACTCGGTTCAATTTCACAGGTGAATGTACATATTGATGAACCGGAAACAAAACTTCGCATTACCCCCCATTCCCAGTGAAGCATGATTCGATTTGGGACTGCATAAAATCTGCCCAGCTATAGAAAACGAAACTACCAGAGCCATTGTAGTATGCTACAGTCTGGTGCACGCGTATTCTGAGGACGTGTCCAACGGTGTATGGACTCACATTCGATAGACTTATGCGAAAAACAAGCGAGATTCGATCAACTAATTAGCCAACACTGCAGAATCCGGGGGTCTACATCATCTACCGAGTATTACATAACTGATTGCGAACCAAGCAGAACGGAATCCCAAGATTAATAACATCTGTATTGTAAACTGGATTATACTACTACAGACGGAAAGCAAAAGTTGCGATCATCGTTGACTAGGTATATTAATCAGGAATTTTGAACGTCTATCGTAAACAGACGCTACACACCCAATTAAAAGCTTGTTTATGAACCAGTCCTGTATCAGCTTCAGTTTTTTATAACCAATAACCATGCACTTGTGTGCTCCGATTTTGGTTGCTGTCTTTTGGTCACCCATTTAGATGAAAGAGCAGCATGAGATTGGAATATTGAAATCAAATTCAAGCGGAAGATAGAGAATTCATACAGACTGGTGTTAAGAGAATAATGAATAGATGCATAAGCGCAACTGTGATCTCGATTGAAGATTGTCAATCATTGAATACGAGCTTATTCGCCAATCTGTACCGTGTTAGAGACATATAATGGAGGCTTATTCAGATAAAAAAAGACTATTAATAGTAACACTGTTGCTCATTCTAAAACCAGGTGAAGTTTCGCAAATGTACGACGAACTGCTGCATAAAGAATTTGAATCACAATGAAACAGGATCCGGCTGGAACAACTCACCGTGGGAATAAAGCGCGGCGAATGTGAACGAGTTGCCGACGAAATGCGACCCCTTCAACCAACGATTCCATCAGATAGCACAGCAAAAAGTCAGCCAATACGATGAGATGTAACAGTAACAAGTAC